ATAAAATTTTAAATTTCAAAATTGGTTAAAATCAAGTAGATCTATAGCATATGAAAATCTTGAAAATGGACGGTGTAGATAATATGTTGTAAAATGCACTATTTTTTAGAGTTAAAATCTTTTTATTTTTCATAGTCGTACATCTCGACACCGAGATGATCAATCAAAGGGTTTTCAACATTAAAACTTCCTTTTCCGATGGATTTTTGAGGGGCATCCGTAGTTCTACGTTATAAGGTAGTGTCCTTATATAAAGTTTTTCCTATATATATATATATATGGTTGTGGTTCTTTTATTCAAATAAAGTTTGTGGTGTACCTTTATAGGAAGGAAAGGGGTGGCACTGGGCAAGGCTACCACCCCCCAGCCGTAAAAGTGGTGTGGGGTCTATGGATGATGATGGACGTAGGGTGGTGGGAGCTGCTAAAAGATCACGATCCAACTCTGCGAAAGAAAGACTTTTAAAAGGTTTCTCTCATCTCTCTATTCTCCGATTTAAGCCCGAAGTAATACTGATAACGATGCATTATATTTACAGAAAATTTACGCTCATGTTTGGATTTAAAGTCTTCACAAAAATGGGTAAAATGGCCCTTTTTATGGATGTAGCAGTCTATGAGCTATGATCCATTGTTAGACACTGCTGGTTTCATGATTTTCCCAAAAAACATTACTGAAGTTTGAAAGCTTATATTCTCTTATCATAATAGAGGTACTTATTTTGGTAATGTTTCTGTATTTCCAGACTCTTATTATCTCTCCATTACCATCCATGACCCATCATTTCAATAGATGCTCAACCTTACTCTCTAGATTGTTGCATACCTACCCTTTATGAGCAATGAATAATGAGAAATTTAGAACATCATCCCCAGTAAGACTCTAATCCCAGGGGAAAAATAGGAAGCATCTCATACACTTTCTCATAAAGGAAATGAAGCACACCATACACTTCCGCATAAAGGAAATGAAGCATGGCATACACTTCCTCAGAAAGGAAGTGAAGCACATCATGCACTTTCTCAGAAAGGAAATGAAGCATGCCATACACTTCCTCAGAAAGGAAATGAAGCATGCCATTCATCACCCTTAGAATATCTAGATATCATCCCGGCCTGAGTATTATGCTGTTGAGCACAACTAAAAATTGAATCCCATAGCTAACAAACCTAAATGATGCAAAAAAAAAATACTCGACCTCTAGACACTATTGTGAGTAGATCACAACTTTCCCAAATCTGCATGACTTGCAATGTCGTTGTTTGTTAGATTGAGGTTGGGAGGTCAATTCCTATGTAACTTTGAGCTGTCACGGTTTTCATGACCTTTAGCTTCAAATATTTCAATGCAGAATTCGGATGTCAGCTGTGTCGGAAGGTGATGACCCTTCCACTGACAACTCCTTGCGCCCACAACTTTTGCAAGGAGTGCCTGGAGGGTGCATTTGCTGGACAAAGCTTTGTCCGAGAGAGGACTACTGTGCGAAGTCTTCGGGCACAGAAGATTGTTAAGAAATGCCCGAGCTGCCAAGGAGACATTACTGATTTTCTCCAGAATCCTCAGGTATGTTGCGAGTGAAATGAATTTTCTGCTATTTATTTATCCAACTTTTGCATACAGAGAGAGATCCTGGACTGTGAATTAAGTTAACGATAGCTATATTTGAGCAGGCTCTCAATGATCATTGATGTACTCGAGTGTTTATAGGAATGGTGCTTGAAGTAGGTCTTGGTTATACTTTTTCAGGTGAACCGAGAGCTCAAAGATGTTATAGAGACCCTTCAAAGAAAGTTTGAAGAAGAGGAGGGGTCTAACGCTCCTGAGGACGATAATGAGGAAGGCGAAGATGGAGGAAAGCCTGAAGATACCCTAAAAGAAGAAAAGGGAGAAGGAATGAGCAATTCAGATAACATGGAGAGTCCTGACAACACCAATAATGCTGAACCCCATGGTCCTGGAAGCCCCATTTCGATCTACAAAAGGAAGAAGGTAGAGGTTGAGAGCCCATCTATTTTAGACAGGCAGCCCAAGAAGAAAAAGGAGAATTCAAAAATTTCCAATGAATAGGAACTAAAGGGCAAGGCTGTCCCTCTGAACCACCGCTCTATCAAGTTTTATGGTGACTCTGTTGTTACTGCTCTCTCTTTTAAATCAGTCTGTCCAGAGCAAAATGGGAAATTTTGTCCGACATTGTTGTTTTTGCTTCTTATAAACAATTGATCCCCATTGGTCCAACATTTTGTTGTTTTGTTTCTTATAAACAATTAAAAGGATCTGTAAGGTGATTGCCGATAAGCTTTGACCATATTTTTGATAGAATGCTAATTAGTCCTTTTTGGCATGTCTTACCTTGTGTTTTGTTGCAAAATTACTGTGGGATTGTATATTATGAGACTATCTGTATTTCTTACAAGGTCACGAGCACTTCTACCCAAATTCAATATCAAATTGGATGGCTTGTGATGTATCATGAAGATTGAGAATTTTTTTATAAACTGAGTCTAGACAATGATATGCTCAAAACCATCCAATTTAAAATCTAAAGGACAAAGATGATTGTGAGCTCTTTATATTAAAAGTAAATTATCTTTTTGTATTCTTTGCCCTTTGTTATCTAGGGTACCAGCCATGAAGAAGCATTTGGCTCTTTTAATAGATTCTTAATCAGGATTTGTTCATTCTCGGAAAGGCCTCATACAGTGTATATGCTCTTCTGGGCAAAAAATTGGAATGAGCACATACTAGGTTACATACAATTGAGGATTTGCTCTGTTATATTGCTCTCTCTCTCTCTCTCTCTCTTCCATCCTCTCTTCATTGTTGCAGACCATGATTCTGCCCTTTTTCTCCATATCTTGTCTCATAGAGTAGCACCATGACTCCTGTCGACCTTTTCTTTTCCAGTCTTCCTCTGCTCCCTTATGGCCTTGTTTGTCTTTGAGAAAGCTCAACCATTTTTCACTCCATTTGTGTCCTATTTTTCCAGTGAAGAGCATCTGTTTGTTTGCAATGAAATCAACTCTTAAACTTATTGGTGTTCAAGAACATGCCATAGCTCAGCTCAGGATAAATTAAAGGAAAAGTTTTATATAAGGTTGCAACTTTAAAGTGAAGAATTAAGGCGCACTTCATAAATCCATCCAAAAAGGATGTTTTAATGTTGAAAACCCCTCAAATTGACCATCTTGATATTTAGATGTATAAATATGAAAAAAAAGAAGATTTTGAGTCCCAAATATAGTGCATTTTTAGAACATATTATCCAGGTTGTCTATTTTCAAGTGTTTATAAATCTATTTAATTTGAACTATTTTTGGATTTTAAAATTTCTTATTTGCACTTTTTTTGACGTTTAAAATTTTATAATTAAAGATGAAAATATATTCTTTAACCCTCCTACAACTTCTTACACGAAATTACATCGGAGGTGATGTAATGTTTAAGGTTGCAAATCACATCTTGGATTAGATTCTAATATTTTATTCAAATGAGTCAAGACATACTCTGCTCAAGGACCTTAGGGTTACTAACATAGAATTATCAAATAACAGACATACCCTCGGTTCTTCAAAATTAAAATATAACCAAGGATATTATCATCATTTGGCTCTAGCCATGTAAATTATGTGGCTTGAATTATTTAATTTTTAGAAACACAACTGGTTTTTCATGGTTCCCCACCCTTTGTATGGAAAATTGAAATATATGTTTTTTTTGCAATGTTGTATAATTTTATAAAAAGAAAACTCTTGTACGTGTTGAGGGACACATTTCTATTATTTGTGCCCCCGAGGCATAAAGCATCCATCTTAAAAATGGATGCATATGTGTGGTCCCTTTAAAAATTTTTTTACAACCAATGGTCTATATATTTTTTACATAAAATTACTATTTTTATTTTAAAATTTATTTATTTTTACATATTCATGATCTCCATGTTACAGATTATGTATTCCTTAAAATTTAGGTTCAAAATCCATCTCATGAAATAATTTTTAGTAGGGTGCAGTTGGCATACGGATGCATCCGTAGAGGTAAGGTGGACCTTCAAATTTTATCATGGT